ATATTTTAAGCTATTCTGTTTTAGTTTGATGTATTCTTACATCCTATACATATTTTAACCTATTCTGTTTTAGTTTGATGTTTTTTTACATCCTTTACATATTTAAGCCTGTTCTGTTTTAGTTTGATGTATTTTTACATCCTTTACATATTTAACCCATTCTGTTTTAGTTTGATGTATTCTTACATCCTTTACATATTTTAACCTATTCTGTTTTAGTTTGATACATTCTTACATCCTTTACATATTTTTCCCTATTCTGTTTTAGTTTGATGTATTCTTACATCCTTTACATATTTTAACCTATTCTATTTTAGGGTGATGTATTCTTACATCCTTTACATATTTTAACTTATTCTGTTTTAGTTTGATGTATTCTTACATCCTTTACATATTTTAACCTATTCTGTTTTAGNGTTTTTTTATGTATTTTTTTACATCCTTTACATATTTTAACCTATTCTGTTTTAGTTTGATGCATTTTTACATCCTTTACATGTTTTAGCCTATTCTGTTTTAGTTTGATGAATTCTTACATCCTTACATATTTTAACCTATTCTGTTTTAGTTTGATGTATTTTTACATCCTTTACATATTTTAACCTATTTTGTTTTTGTTTTATGTATTTTTACATCTTTTACACATTTTAACCTATTCTGTTTTAGTTTGATGTATTCTTACATCCTTTACATGTTTTAATCTATTCTGTTTTAGTTTGATGTATTTTTACATCCTTTATATATTTTAACCTATTCTGTTTTAGTTTGGTGAATTTTTACATCCTTTACATATTTTAACCTATTCTGTTTTCGTTTGATGTATTCTTACATCCATTAAATATTTTAACCTATTCTGTTTTAGTTTGATATATTTTTACATCCTTTACATATTCTAACCTATTCTGTGTTAGTTTGATGTATTCTTACATCCTTTACATATTTCAACCGATTCTGTTTTAGGTTGGTATATTATTACATCCTTTACATATTTCAACCTATTCTGTTTTCGTTTGATGTATTCTTACATCCTTTACATATTTTAACCTATTCTGTCTTAGTTGATGTATTTTTACATCCATTACATATTTTAACCTATTCTGTTTTAGTTTGGTGTATTATTACATCCTTTACATATTTTAACCTATTCTGTTTTAGTTTGATATATTCTTACATCCTTTACATATTTTAACCTATTTTGTTTTAGTTTGATGTATTCCTACATCCTTTACATATTTTAACCTATTCTGTTTTAGTTTGATGTATTCTTACATCCTTTACATATTTTAACCTTTTCTGTTTTATTTTGGTGTATTTTCGTGAATGTCTATCTGAACAGTGTTGTTTGGTCCAAAATGACTCATTATTGATGAACCGTTAAACACTACAAAAACAAACAAACCGACAGTACAGCATTTACATATTTACGTGTCCGATTGAATTTTTTGTGCAATTTATGTGTTAAAGTTTAAAATATCAATTCTAAATATAAATGTGCAAAATACCTAGTAAAATATGAAATATTAACAATAATCAACAATAATCATAATGTTCTATCTCACCCAAAACTGTCATGGAAAACAATTTAAAAAGTAAATAAAATTCTATATACATTTGTACAAACCAAGTATAAACAACACGATACAAGAAACTTTGTTTAAAATCGCATACATGTAAACAAAGAACATTAGCACTTGAGAGCTATTATTGCGACAAACATATGAAAAATAACAATAATAAGTAAATAAAAGAATATTTGATATTGAATACTTGTACATCAATCAAGAATTACTTAGGACTCAGGATTAAAGCACTATCATGTGGAATATACATACATTGCTGATAAAGCAAAGAGTAAAAATTGACAGAATATACACTAATTTAGTGTGAAATTAAAAAATGATACTGAAATCAATTTACAAAATTTGTCAAGATATGTAAAATAATATAGTTTAGAAATGTCTTGAATCGAAATAAGAATAAAATGCTACAAGAATATGGAATAGGATTAATATATATATATATAATTACATAAAACAACAATTAAATATAAAATTCAAAATGTCAGGTAGCAGAGGTAACCAGGGCACAACATGAATTATTAATGTTTACAGACATTGCAAAGGAAGATGGGGCCATCACTGGCATGGACCAACCTCCTGAATTCTTTGAAGTTTTCAACTTTTCGAAAGTCATTTGGGAGACTGTTCCACACCCGGGCGGCCTCAAAAGCAAATGCTTGTTGTCCATACATTACTTCACAGTGTTGACCCTAGGCACATCTGCAGTATTTTCTTTCCTGAAGTCATTGTTAGACATCTGAATATTTACAAGGTTATGAGTATATTCAGGAGACATTTTGTTTATAATTTTAAAAACCGCGCTACCCATATCCTTCAGACGTCTTACATGTAGCCTATCGCTCTTGGTAATAGTCAGCAAGTGCTTGAAGGACGAGTTGTGATCATTATGTATAAACCATAAAGCTATTTCTTGTATTTCTAACTTTCTGACACTCTTCATGGAACAAGAGTGCAAGACAGTAGTTAAAATTTGAAACAATAAAATAATTATAAATTACAAGTCTACCTTGTTTGGTAATAAAATCCAAATTCATTTTAAAATTGACAACTGCCTTGAGGCCTTCCTACAAATAACCAATGCACATGTCGCGTAACCTGTTTGTTCACTAAACCTAAACGGCTCTTCTATTTGGTAACGTAACATATCTAAGAGTTGATAACATTATTCTGTTTTTATGCTTCGGGGCACTCAACATGATTCTCCTCAGACGGTCAGCAAGTCATTATGTTTCGTTCATTGAGAAAACGCTAAACAAAATGAGCTGAACATGTGGAGACATTTCCCTCCTTTCTAACACCAAATAACGAAATCATTGTCGGAGAAATAATCTAAAGGTGTATTATCGTGCATAGAGTACCCGACAACTAATGACGTATACAATAGTTTTTGTTCTCTACACATCAGCAAATAATAGACGGTATGTAACACACTGCATACTCGTATGTGTCGACTACCATACACCTACTGCAGAGTCGCAAGTCTTTGCCAGTGCTGTCTTGTTTGGGACATTGAAGGAACCAAACTTGTGTGCTGCACCTATTACAATCATTGGAATCTTCATCTTTTTGTCATCTGCCTTTTTTCCTAAGACGTTCTTTCACTTAAATGTATCTTTTTTATGTATGTCGTTTGCTCATTTCTACAACCTTCAATGACAGTGCTTGCGCCATTAATACATAATACACGAATACGTTAATAGTAATGATATCTATGATCTGGAGGGAACGGAATTTAATAGATGTTTATGATACACTGTCAAGTAAAGAGATATGTGACAATTAGTATTGTTATTTCATCTAAATGTCTTTTAGTATCATTATACACAAAAATATTAGCAGTACTTCCGACAAAGGGACAAAAGAAATAACAAACCCTTTCTTAGTTTTCTTTTAACAAATGAAACAAACTTTACCAACACCACGTGTGATGCAATATGATATACCTCGTCTTTTTTCATAGAATTGAGGATTGACACGTGTAGTGTGCGACTCAATATTGTCTCGATCGTCACAAATAAGTATTTCCCCATGTCCTACAATTATTTACATAATCACGTTTCTTAAATCAACAAGCGTTCACACCAACCACTTGTTAACAACTACACCGTTGTCGTGTAACTGGTAGAGTTTGAACATATCAACTGACGAACATGTTGTTTTGTTTGTTATATAGGTCACCAGACTGACGAAATACGTGTACTTGGCAGAGCTTGAACTCATTCACTGGCGAACATTTTTGTTTTTATATAGGTCATTAGATTAACCAATCAGTGTTCTCGGTAAAGCTTGAACTCACCCATTGACAAACAGGTTTATCAGTGTTATTTTAGTATCCGACTGACCAATCCCAGTTACTGGCAGAGCTCGAACTTATCCACCGAGGAACATGTTTGTTTGTTATATAGGTCACCAGATTGACAAATACGTGTTCTTGGTAGAGGTCGAAGACATCCGCTGGCGAACATGTTTATTTGTTTTTATAAGGGTCGCCAGACATACCAATCCGTGTTCTTGGTAGTGTTCAAAATCACCTATTGACGAACGTGTTTATTTGTGTTATTTTAGTATTTTTCAACAGACTGACCATTCCGTGTTCTTGGCAGAGCTCAAACTCATCCACTGGCGAGCATATTCATTTGTTTTTTAGATAGATCACCAGAGTGATCACGTCAGGTACGACGATGGTCAGTCCCATGCCCACCAGAAGGATGGCCGCTGCGTATCCAATGCTACTGGATGAGGTCTTACCGTCATCAACACTCACAAGCGTCCGAGTATAAGAGCTTGTCTGTTTCTTGTCAACCATCAGCTTTTCTCTGAGTTTCTCTACCAGGACCTCAACTGTCTGGTTGTAATACTTTTGTAATGCTAGACTATTCTTGCATCTGCAGGGACATAGTTCGGTAGGCAAGGTTGACACTTGACTGCTTGTTTCAAGGATGTGTGCTGTTGTTTCTAATGTTTGGAGATCTGTTGTGGCATGCTGAACACCACTGGTCTGCGTCTCAGACTGTGTGGTTACCTTTAGTCCGGTTGTGGTCGGCTCGACTTCAGTTTTAGTAAATTCTGCTTCCGTAGTTGTAGACTGGACTTCTGTGCTTTGAACCTCCGACTGTGTTGTTATCTTGACTTGGGTTGTTGCTGGCTCGAGGTCGGTTGCAGCAGATACGGCTTCAGCAGTTGTAAAACCAATACAAGATGGATCTCCGCCTAAATGTTCAAGAAAAATTGGACCTATTACTTTATGTTGAATATGCTTTATATATATTACATCGATGTGTCATAAATGCTGTTAACTATTCTCAAATAAGAATAAAACTTTCGATGATACAGATGTTTGTTTGCTTTCAAACATCAATTAGTTTGAGGTATAGATTATGGGAAAATATTGCTTTATCATAATCGGTGGCTCGTAAACCTTTTTGAAATTGTGACTGAGTTGGCAGTGGTCTTTTTAATTTGTAGACATTTCCAAAACACCTACCACTAAAATATATTTGTTCTTATCCAAGCTTAAGCGTCTTCCGCTCATGATATTTTTGTCATTTATATCCTTCCAACATTTTAAATAAACAGCATTTTGATGTGGGAAGGTAGTTTTTTTATAGTTAACAATTGTGTTAGTCAAACGGAAACATTCGGAACGTCGTGACATGGACAGGTTTGACGACTTATAATAATGAACGATGCAGGGTCGTACAATCAACATTATATATATTTCATATATTCTCAGTTAACGTGTTTTCCTTTACCCGATCTTCATATTTCTATGTCAAGCGTAAAGCTTTATTTGATTGCAATGTGTATTGTTAGAGCATAGGTGTTTTTAAATTAAATTGTTTTTTATATGATATGGACAATCGCCTGCGTCCATCGTGTAACCTATTAAATCATATTAAAAAGAGTTGCTGTCCCTTTTTTATTTCGACGTCATTAAAATATGGACCAAACATGTAAACCTCTGAACAACGTACACCACATTACATGTTGTCATAGTTATCTTTTCTATTTCGTTTATTTATCCTACGAAGGGATCACTGCATTTCATTTAGGAATCCAACAACAGAGTTATGATGAATCCTTCTGAAACTACAGTTAAAACTCGATGCAGTGCCTCTCGTTTCCTCTGCCATCACTTACTGCTAACAACTTGTCAATGGTTTTTTCTCTTGTTCTTAACATTCCTTTAAATGTCGCTCTCGATATATTGTCAGACCTCTTTATACTGCCAAAAAACCTATGAACAAATGGTGGCAGTGTAGAGAGGTTTTACTGTACAGGATTACTGTAAGGTCGCATAATCTTGATCTTCACTTTTTTTTAATATTTCCGGAAACAACTTTTACCAGATATTAATTGATTTGGGTCGTTAATTATTGGCGTACTTGTCATATTCTTACGCAATATCAATTTCATTTGAAGGAATTTCTGTGAAATGACGAATTCATTAAACCAAATGTTTTCGTACCCTAACTAATAAGCAAACATACCTTCCACAATAACTTCACAGAAATGTAGAGGATCCTCCGACATTGCGTGGACGATCTTAGAAACCCTAACGTAGCGTCCAATCAAATTATTTGGACATGTCAGGCTTTTAAGCGTGCTACCGGGGATAGGTGGCCCGGTGTAGTTGTAACACAGTCTAACATCCGGGTTGTACCTGTCAGTTTGGTATGTGTTGGATACCTCTACTGTAAAATTATTCATTCTCGAGCCTGAAACGAGAAGGTTTTTTTTCATTTTAACAAATTGAATAGGCATATATTGAACAGTTGGATTAAATAACAGGCACGGCTATATCAATTCTCTCCATTGGCGGCCGGCATGTTAGCCTTATATTAATAATAAAGTTAATTAATTTACTATGAATGTTTTAAATTCACCTAATAATCAAAGTATTCTAACAAAACAAATTATCACTTCAATATCAGATTACAGAGCAGTACAAAATGATCTTGATTGTGTGACCTTCACTTTTTCGGCCGTCTTTGTTTTCTGGTAATGGTGGTCTCTTACACGGTACAGTTTTAAATTTTGGCATGTTTTTATTTCAAATCGGTTAATTCTAGCATGTTTGAAAAAAATGAATGCCTACATATTTAAAGACACGTACTATTTTTGACATGTTATATAATACGCCCATCATTCTGACTTGTTATTTCATTAATTTATTATTTTTAACATGTAATACACTTGGTCATCTTATTAGATATTTGTATTATAAGGAAAAGGGAATGATTTTATTCGCGCATTGTTCATTCAAAAGTCTAAGAGGTCAGAGAAATTTAAGGGAGGAAAATACAACTGTTTAGAGTATGTCAACTTATTACCTATTAGTTCTCGGTTTTGGATGGACACTTGCTTGATATGATAGAGTTTTCCCAGGTCTACCTGCCACCATTGATATCCGGTGCCATTTACATGCGAGCAGGAATGATTTTCATACATGTTTGGTGCAAGGTTTCCGTCCACAGATCGCCAAGCGTGTCCGTAGGTAGTATCAGTGATGTGAGTGGACGATTGGGTAGCCGTCTTATTGACAGCTAGGTCGAGGTTTGTGCACTGATCAGCCCTCACTGGTAAGTGTATTAGGACCATATATAATCGTCTATAGCGTTGATGCTTTGTTGAATATATTACAGTACTACCTGCCTTGTATCCCTTAATACATTTTTTTAAATAATATGTGCATTTATATATAGAATCAATTATGGTCAGACAAACAGCAAATAAAACGGGTTATGTTCAACGTACCTATACACGAAATAAATACGACTTAAAATCTCTTAGATTAAATAATTACCTTCTACTATAACTTCACACAGTGTTAGTGGACGATTTTGTTGTTGTGCATTCCTTGTAATCCTCACATAGCGTCCCAATGTGTTGTCAGGACATTGAAAGGTCTTCAGTTCCCCCGCTCCTATACCACCTAAACGGTGAGTGTTGCAAAGCTGTGTTCTAATAATTTCAGTGGTTGCTTGTAGGAAATCTTCAGCAATTTCTATTTTGAAATTGAATAGGAAGTCAGCTAAAATGAACAAATAAACATTACTAACAATCAAATGTAATTATAACGAAACTGTTTGCGCAGATTGATATTAAATACTGTTGATGGTTATTATTATGTATAGACTAGCCTCTATCCGTATTATTATCCCGAATGTAGTCACTCCTTAACGATACCGCATGGTTCCGGTTTATACTACGCATGTTTGTAGAACGAGTATTAAGCCCGTCATTAAAGATGCCTAGCAGTGGCGTGTTCGATCTGATTTGTTTATGCTGGTGAATCCAACAAACAAAACAGTTATGATGGTTAGTATGTATTACAATTTAACGGCCCATTATCACAGACGAGATCATAGGGACCAATAAAATTGCGATTAAACATGTTAAAGGAAATGGCATAAGCCAAACGCAAAGGTAAAAGACATACGTCCACCTAAAAAGTAAAAGTGACGAATATTGGTTATATCTTTTAAAGATTCACTGCATACATACAATGTATACTTACGATGCTCCAGCCTATTCTGGATTGTTACATTAGATACGTTGTAGCTCCTGCCTAAATCCACCTGCCACCAACTTTCGTCGGGCAAGTACTTTGTAGATGCGCATGATCTGTGTCCCCAAACAGGGTCAAGAACGCCATCTACCGCGTGCGAGGATGACCCTTCATATCCATTGTTCGAAAATGTTGTTGACTGAGCTGTTGCCCTGTTCAACGCTACATTATAGAGGTTTCGGCTTGTCAAGCTCTCTGAGGAACAGATCAAGTGAAATAGCATTAGCCACTATATTCAATTTTGCTTATAAATGTAAGAGATCTTAATGCTATCTCAAGCTATGAATGTCATTATGCAAGCTATGTATGTTGATGAATGTCGATAAAACTGACGGCCAGTACAATTGATGCTGTGCTGTGCGGTGGCTATTTAATTTTTAGATAAATAATCATGTAATAAAATGTCGGAGACCTTGACCAGAACATTCAAATCCTGAATCGGATTTCAAGATATGGCACTGCAAATTGAACTTTGATTTCTTGTACCAGAAACAGTTGCGAGCGAATACGAGACCGTTACATCAACTGTTTACTTGCATGAATATTTTAATACATTTCACCAAAGTACCTGGTTGTCTTATAAATATTTTTATTTCTACTCGCAATTTTAAATGTTTGGCATTGTAAAATATACGTCTTCTCCTGGTATTTTGAACAGTTGTCAATGACTACGAAACAACATTTGGTGTTTTGAATGGTAGTCAATGACAACACTACGAAACCGGCTTATCACCGTATACGGTATCATTGCATGAATATTTCAACACATTTCACGTGAAGTATTTGGCTGTCGCCTATTTCCAGACTGTAGCTTGAACAATTACAACAATGACTTAAGATGACAATCCGAGTTCCGGTTCTGGTTCATTTATTAGTGTTTAATTATGAGTGATATCGCCTGTATATCTCTACTACGTCTTAAAATACAGAGAGCGGGCTTCATGCAATATCGATGAAACAGATTTGCGTTCATGCCGGCATGCAAAATTTAAAAAACGCCGTACAATCAATATACTTACATATTTACTATAGAACAATTGTTTAAATTTATTTATTTGTTCTTCGATAATGAATTTATTTACTGTGTTTTGTATACGTCGTCATTGAAACGACATTGTCGAAACAGTCCTATCTAGATCAAATTGGCGCCAATAATTAACCGTAGCGAAGCGACAAGACAAGGTTAATTTCTGACGTAATAAATAAACCACGTGTTACATTACGAGAGTTTTGCTTTCATACTCAAATAAAATGCATTTTTGCTGGTTATATTCATCAAGTGGGTTACAGCACAGATGTTAATATAGTGCAATCAACGACACCTGTAACCATTAAACATTAAAACAAAAAAGACATTTTTTTTTCACTTAAGACCAATGGATTGCCAGAACGCAAACTTTATTTTTCCAAGCGTCTCGTATTTGACATGTGTAGGTCACAGAAAACACACCCCATTTACATTTGAGGAAAACTATGGTGGCATATTTCTGCCATCCACTTGTGACTTACGAGTTACGTATGTCGACATAATTATTGAAAGATGTCGACATAATCTGAGAAGATCTCGACATAATCTGAGAAGATGTCGACATAACTATTAAATTATGTCGAGATATTATCACATTTGTCGAGATAATTTTGCCTAGATAATTATCTCGCAAGTGGATAACTCGGCTTTGTATCGTTTAATGCTCGGGTGTGATATCGACTTGCCACTTAGGACTTGCCACTTAGGACTTATTTATGTCGACATCCTAGTAGATTATTGCCGACTTCCCAGAAATATGCCACCATAGAAAACTTATCTAAAATGAATCAACATCATGAGCGGTGTACCAGAACGTTGCTAACGTTTTTATTATTGTAAACTGTTTTCCTGAAACTTACCGGAGAGAGCAACATAAGTCAGAATCTGTAATGTCTTGAGCCACTCGAAGACAAAGATGTCCATGATGTATTCGGCGTTGTTAAGAAGAATCCTTAAATGTCTTCTGTATTGTATATCCTTTTCTCATCCAATCGTGTTCCGTCAGTCTCCTTACCTAAACATAAATATTTCGTCGTGAAAACGTATTGAACGGTGTAATTTTCAAATTGTCCAAATGCACAATGTATAAACCGGGAGACTTCTACCCGCAGCTGTATACACCTACTTATGACAGAATTAATGATGCATCGTAAAGAGTCTTCCAATGATGCGCACGCCGCTTTTAGCCAGGTGACATTATTGATTATTAATTTATTAATTTATTTATTAGTAGTTATAATTTGTACGTACACCTATTATATACGATTCTCCCGAAGAGCTTTGTAACAGCGAAAGGCAGTATTCATTTGCCTTTAGGTGTTTGTTTGCAATTTTCGTTTTGTTTTATAGCCACAGAGATTTCAACATTGTTTTTGTATTATATTCAATGACTATATACCAAAAACACCAAATATCATTGAGAGGGTAAATATATAAAAACGAAAAACAAAGGTATTTTTAGCAGTTCCCTAGCGCTTTCGTCTCTGTAGACATTCATCATTTTACATTTTCTCCAAAATAAACACGGCCACTGTTAACTACTGAAGAAGACCTGTTCAGAATCACTTTTTGTTTCTTTTATGGGCCACGCACTGTGTTTGTGGCACTAGTTATGGATGATAATCAACGTTAAATATATGGTCATGGTAAATTAAAACAAACATAAAACACAATGTCAACACTACCGTCAACAGAACCACAATAGCTAACGGGACACGAAAACATACGGGAAGCGACCACGAACCACTACCAAGAAGCCATGCATAACAAATGATAATATGCACGGTTTTTGGCATCCAATATTTCGTCTGGTTGATATGATTCTTGTCCATGTGGCTAAAAGATTGTTTCAGTGACATACATCTGTGAAACAATTTCTCACCAATCATGTATTATATTTACATATATGAAATGTATGCAACGGGTATTAAGAGATGCGACAATTACCTGGGCCTGTATTCATGAAACCGTTTTCATGTTCAAGCATTGATTCTGTACTCAAGTTAAATTTCTATTTCCGCTTATATATTAATAAAAATATATATCTTATTTTGTTAATGTTTATGTGAAAACATTTAAAAGACTGAAAGCCGAATACTGTTTTTAATGTTAACATTTTACTTTTTGATCATTTGAATGAGACACAAGAAAGCTGGTTTGAGCACAGAATCCGTGCTTGAGCATGAGAATGGTTTCATGAATACGGGCCCTGGTCCTTCTTTTGAAATTTATATCGATGATGATTATTGTCCTTGAGTAACAAACTCTTCGAAACTTACCTGAATCCAAAGCAGTCTCTGGAATTGAAACCACAGATCCCTCTAATATGGATATAGCATGTAGCTTCTCTTCTTTAGCAATTTAACAATTACGCCAGAGTGAGAGAGTTAGGTCTGTACAGGCCGGCGGGATCAGTAGGAGCAGGTCAGTATTGCATGTATCAGCCTATTGTCTTCTTATATCTTTGTTTGAAACGTCAGCAAACGCAGGTTACACAGTTAACGTTGTTCGTTTGATAATTCCTTACCAATAAAAATAACACATATCACTGAGTCAATATGCAAGGAACATTCGAAAATAAACGTAAATACGAACAGACAACAGAATGGAGAATAACAAAACAAAGGGAAAGACTTCATTTCCTACTTATAACAAATATTTGTTATGGTGTTTTTGCGGAAGGGTGCCCTTTAATCTCCTGTCAGCATGATAACTGAATTTTCAGTTATACTGTTCGTTATTTCATTGCACGCCGGAATATCGGTTGGTTTAAGTATCATTGGTGGCAGGCATGTTTTCCTGCTTTTAACTGCTTTTAACTGAAAACGATAATGTGTGCCTTATATATAATTACGTCACGCTTGATATCATTGGTGGCAGGCATGTTTTCCTGCTTTTAACTGCTTTTAACTGAATACGATAATGTGGGCCTTACGTCACGCTGGAATAACTAAACATCATCCGTAACACGACATGAACCGTTGTTTATATATTCCCTTATATGGACATTCGGTTTGATATAGCTTCTGTACTACGAAAGCAAATTGTTGGAATCCTTGTACGTAAACAGTCCGTGCTAATGAGGGGGGGGGGGGGGGGGCGAAATGATTCCAGATGGTAACTAGGGCTGAGTTAACACCATAGCAATACACAGAGCGACAAAATAGAATATTTGAAATGCTGGTGGTTACTTGCGCGTTAAAGATTACATAAACGAGTACAAATTGCGGTCAACTTTACGTAAAGGTGCTAGACAGATCGGACAAGATCGAAATGAATCTAGCATGGGCTAAATAATGCGACAACCCTGTTTAAGGTCCGAAAAACGCCTCCATATAAATCCCCTTCTGTAACACCCTTGGGGGTAGGTGATGCCCCCTTCTGTTCCGGGTGTGATCTCTCTTGAGTCTCTCTTCTACATTGACGTTTCTCCGATATGTTGAAGTCCCCTTGGTATATTGAAATCTCTCATTTCAGGAACCCCGTCTTACTCGAAGGTGATGTTAACGGTCCCCCTCTATGTCTTAGTTTCGTTTAAACACAGAATGCACGTGTATGATGGCATTGAAATGTCACGATCCCCTTACTATTAAAGCTAGTTTCAGAGTGTGAGTGTAGTTTGTAGTTCGTAACACGCTGTTTTAGGAGTAAATGTAAACGTTACAACGGGTGTTGTTTGTAACATACTGTGCGTCTTACGCTTGGGGAAATATCTATAGATTGTGGACACGATGTTTTAGGGGGACGTGAGGAGTTATTATACCCAGCTAGTCTTACATGTATTTAAGGGTGTAGTTATCAATACACTTAGTGCCTGGAAATGTGCGTAATTATACATCCAGGAGGATAAAACATAAATACCTGCACAGTACACATGGCTTACATACAGGAAACCGTTTCACCATCGTTCCGTGAACTTAAAAACACATACAGGATAAATTAATGAGTATGCCGAGTCCAAAGCACGTCGATGCTTTTACATTTTTTAATTGTGTCTTTGATCCTGATGAAAACAATAAATTCACTTTTTCAGTATTGACAATATGAGAAAAACTTATTTATTTAATTGATGTGTTGTATTCCTTTGTGTGGCTTGATAAGAAACTGTTAAATTTATGTTCATTGATGTCTCACTTCAAATGAGATGTACCTGTGACATTTGTTTCATTGTAGCAGGAATATTAAAAGATTCATCGATCACTACTTTAATGGGACGTTCGTTATTTGAATATGATTCATGTATATACATAAAAATTCACACATGACCGAGTATGACACATACACACTATCCGTGTGTTATTGACAGTTTTCGCCGTGCAGTTTGCTTTCTAAAGGGGTTGACCAGTTTGCACATTTGTCTCGTCCAGCCATCCAATTCGACAATAAAAGTTTATTTTTCAACTGTTAGGTCACTCTGTTGAGACCAGTGAACAGTAAAAACAGCATTATAACGTTTTAACTTGTGATTAATGTTATGCCGAGGCTCAATGAAAATGACCGCCTCCGGATTATTGGTATGCTTCAAGCTGGTATGGGCCAAGTCGTTGTCTCTACACGTTTTCATGTCCATCGAAACACAATCCGGGATTTGTGGAGACGACATCAACAGTTTGGCCACGTCGGCGATCGACCCTGTGCGGGACGGGAACGTGTGACGTTACGTCAACAGGACAACCATATTCGGCTTGTTCATTTGAGAAATCGCTTCCAAACTGCAAGTTTGACTGCACGGACAATCCCTGGGTTGCTACCAATAAGCCCGAGAACTGTACGGAACCGATTGCGTGAACGAGCTATCCGTTCGCGACGTCCTGCAATCCACCCAGTTCTTCTGCCACGTCATCGTGTAGCACGTCGGGACTGGTGCAGAAGGCATCTGCGATTTACTCGACGGGATTGGGCAGGAATTTTGTTTACGGACGAATCGTGAGTCAACCTGGATAGTAGTGACGGCCGTTTCCGTGACGCGTGTGTGGTACAACGACGTTCTTTCGGCGGAGGCAGTGTTATGATTCGGGGCGGCCAACGGGAGAACGCCTCTGGTGGTTGTTAACGGGAATTTGTACGCGCTACGTTACCGTGACGAGATCCTCCGTACCCACGTCGTTCCATTCGTGCAAGGGCAGCAACGTCACATTACGCTACAGCAGGACAACGCCAGGCCACACACAGCTCGTGTCGCTATGGACTTTCCGGCCCAGCAGAACGTTGACTAGTTGCCCTGGCCTTCTGTATCCCCCGATCAGTCGCCCATTGAACACGTCTGAGATGAAATGAAGCGCAGATTATCGGCATCACCAAATCAACCGGTGACGTTGGCTGATTTGGCTGCAGCGTTGGTACAGATCTGGAATGCCATCCCACAAGCATTTTTGAACCGTCTGATAGGCTCACTCCTGAACGTGGAAAATGGAATGCAACTGTTAATAAATAACAAATAAATTGTCCCTGAAAACCTTGTTGTTCTACGTCATACACATTTATTTTTATAACACATTTTAGGCATGCACTGTTTCTTTTTTCCGCTAGTGTATTTAAAACTTACCCGAATTTTCCCTTAACCATACTCAACTGGTTCACCCGTTGTCAGCTTTTTCATTTCAACAAAATTTATTGTTTAGAAAACAAATGAATTGAACAACAGCCAAGCCTATATAAGTCCTCTCCAATAGGTACCATATATATACAAGACGTGAATAAAATAAATAATAGATATCATATTCAGTCATGTATATATAAAAAGAGAAATGGATTTTAGAATGAAAGCATTGATGGTAGAATAACACAAACATTCAGAGAGTAGAATGGTTACTTCAGGTAATGTACATTGTATAATAATGAAATATGTAAACATCTACTCAAGCTTATACAGACTTGCATACCCACATGCCTACATGTCACACACACCCTTACAAATACTATAC